AAATAACATCACTAATGACTTGATTAATTCTTGGATCTTCTCAATCCTATTGGTTCGAAATAAAAACTAGCACATGAAAAAAAGTAGATTCTGTAGAATTGAAGGCTACGTGTCCATCTACGGAGCTATCCCACAAAACATTTAAAAGAACTTTATACGCGGGTCGGATTTAGAGGCTTCATTACGATTCAGGTAAATTTATAACTTTTTCGAAATTCTGTGTATATATATATATATAAATAAATACACATAAATATCTATAAATATTAGACTGTAAATCTAGTTATTATGTAGTATAAATTTGAGGTCGTTTTAAAAATTTATAAACTTCAAATTATTTGCCTATACAAAATTAAATATTCTATTGTAACGACCCGACTAATCGTTTTGAGCAATTGCGACCGGTTCGGCAGTTTGAGGTCATGAGCAGACTTGCATGCATCATCGTCTCGGGGTTTTGAGTAGTTCGGAAATGATTTTAAGGAGTGACTCTCATTTGAGAAGCTCGAAGTTGAAAGAATTGACCAAGATTTGATCTTCGAGTATTTGACCGCGGATCAGAGTTATGATGATTCCGGTAGGTCCGGATAATATTTTTGGATTTGGGCGTATGCCCGAATTTACATTTGGATGTTTCTAGAGGGCTTCGGCATCATTTGGCGGAAGTTGGCAATTTAAATGTTTGGAATTTTTCTAGGTTTGACCATTGTTTGACTTTAAGGCTATCGGGTTCGAATTTTGGTTTCGGAACTTGGAATATGTCTGTTTCGTCATATGGAGCTTGCCTGCAAAATTTGGCGTCATTTGGAGTTGATTTGATATGGTTCGAACTCGTTGTTGCGATTCTAGAGGTTCTCTAAGTTCATGGGGAGTTCCATACGTTTTGGCGTTCAATTCGTGATTCTAGATGTTATTTTGATGTTGTGACCGTGCGAGCGAGTTCATGTTACGTTTTTGGACTGGTGTGAGTGTTTGGTTTGGAGTCTCGGAGGCTCGGGTGAGTTTCGGATTGGTTTCATATTGATTTTATATAATTTTTATTGTTGGTACTGGTTCCATCGCATTTGCGATGTTATCGTATTTGCGAAGTAGCCCTCGCATTTGCGAAACTAGGTTGATGGGGAAGAGTTCGCATTTGCGAAGACATTCCTCGCATTTGCGAGTGTGGGCTGTTCGCTTTTGCGAAGATTTCTGCCACTTTTGCGATGGCAGCTGTCTTCGTATTTGCGATATTTTGGTCGCAAATGCGACTTTTAGCAAAACTTCTCCTGGTTCGCTTTTGCGATGCCTTGTCCGCTTTTGCGGGGTTCGCATTTGCGAACCCCATGTCGCGAATGCGACATCTGCAGCCTCTATATAACTGAGTAATTCCGAGACTTAACTTCATTTTGATATATTTTGAATCCTAGCCTCGATAGTAGGCGATTTTGTGGAAGGATTTTCCTACCAAACTATCGGGTAAGTAATTTTAATCAACTTTCAATTACATTTCGTGATTATACATTAGATTTAACATCAAATTCATGAGAATCTAAAGGAAAAATTTGAAGATTTTGTCAATGTTTTGAAAAAATAAAAATTTTGAATTTGAGAGTCGAATTGGAATCGGATTTAGAAACAAAATACGTATATGGACTCGTGGGGCTATGGGTAGTCAAGACTTACCCTTGGACCTGGGTTTTGACCGGACGGGCCCGGGATTAACTTTTGTTGACTTTTTAAAAATTGTATAAAGACCATAGCTTTGTTAATTGGTGTTGTTTTCTCTTGCATTGTTTGATGTATTTAAGTCATCTTTGGCTATATAGAGTCGAGTGGAGGTGAATTTGTAAAGGAAAAGCTAATCTGAGTATTGATTTGAATGAATTGAGGTAAGTATCTTGCCTAACTTTATTGAGAAAATTTTTCCTATTAATTGCCATTGTTTGCTACATGCAGGGATGATGCATATATGAGATGACGAGTGTATATGCATGTGCCAGGGTGTCTCGACCCAAAATTCAACTAGCCGTGACGGCTCCTAACCTCACCCGCTAGGTAAGCCAAATAACAACAATCTGATTCAATTAATATTTAACTGACTTTAATACACTCCCTAAGGACTGGTAGTACAAATCATGAGCTTCTAAGATTAGAATTTAAAAAACTAGTGTGAAATAAAAATACGTCATATGTTTGAAATATACATGAACATATTAAAAATTCTAAAGCTACCATGAATAAGAGGCAACAATGACTGAAACGCAGGTACATCTTCAGATCCAGCTCCCGCTGTACGCAGCAATATCAGCATCAGAAATCTGCACGCAAGGTGCAGAAGTGTAGTATGAGTACAACCGACCCCATGTACTCAATAAGTAACAAACCTAATATTAGGTTGAAAGTAGTGACGAGCTTGTACCGTGGTCATAGTCCACTCCAATAACCAATAAAATCTCATAACAATACAATTTAAATCAACACAAGTAATAATCCAATAATAGAATGCTCAACTCGTATACAATTCTGGAAAATAAACATTTTCTTTTCAAGTATAACAGTAAAACTCAAATCCTTAGCCGAAAATCACCAAAAATATGAGTACGGCTTAAATCTTTGATTTTTCTAAAAAGCTTTAACGACAGGTAAGAAATTTCATTATTAAATGGCATGAGGAAAAATACTTCTCTATGCCTACATATCAAGTATGCATGTCTAATGTAATGCAACATAGTGATGAACTCATGTACTCACACTCTCAGAGTACTCAATCTCACTATCTCATATTTCCACTCATCACGCTCAATATTCAGCACACTCAGTTATTTGATACTGTATAGGGCAGATCCAGCCCAAATATAAATGACAACTTGCACACAGTCACTCAGTACTATATATGGCCAATCCAGCCCAGGAAAGATCCATCCCAAATATNCATAAATAAGGAAACTTCATGCCCTGGGAAATCCATCCCAAATATAATGTCATCTGCGCTCACTGTGGGCGCTATAATAAGCTATTTAGACCTGTTGTGGCATACAACCCGATCCCATAACAATAAAGCCTATAAGGCCTGCTGTGACGTGCAGCCCGATCCATATGATAATAAAGTATATAAAGCCAATATAGCCTGCTGTGGCGTGCAACCCGATCCCATTATTATCCTCACAATCAGGCCCTCGGCCTCACTCAGTCATTAATCTCTTCAGTCTCTCGGGCTCACAATGCCATGAAACTAGCCCAAAATGATGATATAATAAATCAATAAATAACAATAGAGACTGAGATATGATATGCAATAAATGTATATGACTGAGTACGAAATTACAATTTAAACAAATAATTCAACAGCAACATGACCTTTGTGGGTCTCAATAATACCGATATATAGCCTCAGTATGATTTGTAACATGATTCTCAACTCAATTTCCTTAACACATGAAACTACATGGACAATGCCAAGATTATTTGACTACACAATTCCACAGAATTAATTACGTCATAGTTTCTACGGTGCACGCCCACACGCCCGTCACCTAGCATGTGCGTCACCCCCAAACAAATCATATAACACGTATTATCGGGATTTATACCCTCAGCTCCAAGTTTAAAAATATTACTAACCTCAAACCATGGAATTCTCTATTCCAATATACCCTTTCCTCGCGAATCGTCCTCCGAACGCCTCAAATCTAGTCACAATTAATTCGATACAGTCAACACAAATTATAGGAATCAATTCCATATGAAAATACTAAATTTCTCAATTAAATCCAAAAATCCACCAAAAAATGACAGTGGGGCCTATATCTCGGAACCCGATAAAAGTTACAAAATATGAATGCCCATTCAATCACGAGTCCAACCGTACCAAATTTACCAAATTCTGATATTAACTCAACTCTCAAATCCTCAATTTAACCTTAAGGGTTTTCATAATTTTACCAACTTAAAATACCAATTAAATATTAAAAATAATAATAGATTCAGGTAATTTGACCAAAACTGAGTTAAGAACTCTTACCCCGATGTTTTTCGTGAAAATCACCCGAAAATCGCCTCTCCCTGAGCTCCAAATCGTCAAATATGAAAAATGAGGTCTCATTTTCAGAACTTAATTTCTGCTGCCCAGTCATTTACCCTATGCGATCGCGGAAAATTTTTCGCGATCGCGAAGCACAAAAATTTCCAGAGCATTTTTACTCTATGCGATCGCGGCCATTTCCCCGCGATCGCGAAGCACAAACTTCTATTACACTTCCCAATTGTTTCTCAGACAACATGTAATTTATTGGTCATAAAGTTTTGTACAAAATTCCAAATGACAAATGGTTTAGTTTTCTGAAAACTAGACATCAAGGGCTACAACTTTCATTTTTGGATCATATCCAAATTCCCTATAGATTGTAGATATAAGCTTCTAAAATCGGGTCAGTTCAACAGAGATTTTATTCTATGTGATCGCGTGTAGGCTTCCGCGATCGTGATGCACAACTCCATTTTTCCTATTTTTCTCTTCACTATCGCGACCAGATTCACGCTATCGCACAGTACACTCATGTAGCCAAAAATCAGCAACTAGAAATGGCCTAGAAATGGTCCGAAACCACCCCGAAACTCACCCGAACCCCTCGGGATCCCGTCCGAACATACCAACAAGTTTCAAAATATATTACGGACCTACTCGATGCCTCAAATCACATATAATAATATTGAAACGATGAATCGCACCACAATTCAAACTTAATGAACTTTAAATCTTTCAACTTCCAAATCTCGCGCCGAAACATATCAAATCAATCCGGAATGAACTCAAATTTTGCATACAAGTCATAAATAACACAACAAAGCTACTGAAATTTCCGGAATCACAATCCGGACTCTATATCATAAAAGTCAATTTTCGGTCAAACTTCCAAACCTTCAATTTCTTACTTTCGCCATTTCAAGCCAAATTCAACTATGGACTTCAAAATAAATATCCAGACACACTCTTAAGTTCGAAATCACCATACGGAGCTATTGAAACCATCAAAACTCCATTCCTGAGTCAGTTTTACAAAAGTCAAACTCCGGTCAACCCTTTTCATTTAAGCTTCCAACATAAAATTTATTCTTCCGAACTAATCCCGGAACACCTGAAACATCAAAACCGACGATTCACACACGTCATAATACATCATATGAAGCTATTCAAGACTTCAAATAGTTGAAAGGAGCGTAAATGTTTAAAACGACAAGTCGGATCGTTACACAAGGTTAATCATACTCGGTGGTAGATTATACAATTAATTGTGCCTTGTAGAATTTTGTGACCTTCTCGTTTCATGCCCTACTTGACTTCTAGATTACCAAGAATATGAAATTAAATGCTAGGAACCAAGATTTAGCTCATTATAACTTGATTAAAATTTGACGGATTTTTTGTGAAACCATTGATGTGTTAAATTCGGTTATCATTATGTTTAATCAGTACATCGCTACGACCGGTATTCTTGAGATATTGAATTCTATACTTGAGTTAAAGATCATTTTTTATACTTGTCGAAATACTTGAATAATAAAGTACTTGAGTTTTGTTAAATTGTTATTGGCTGGAAAGCTGTGATTGATGTTCATTTGGAATATTCGCTCAAACACTCTCCTTGATGTTATTCATACTTACTACCTTGCTTGTCATTGGTATACATATGCGTGGTGATGAAGAGCGTAAAATATGAAGGGTGGTGCCGTACCATTGTATATACATTATCATGTGAAGAAGAGTGTAAACCACAAAGGGTGATGGCGTGCCATTTTATTTACGTTATCATATGAGGGTGAAAGTAAATGCACGAAGGGTGATGCCGTGCCGTTTTATTCATATTATCGTGTTCTCATTTACATTAACATGTGAGAATGAGTGTAAAAGCATGAAGGGTGATGTCGTGCTATTTTATATTATAATACTTTTATATTATCATAGGTTCATGGCACGGAGAGTATTTCCGTGCAGTCGAGGACGAGGGGCATGCATTATATTGTGATATTTTTTCATGGTGTATACGTTCATGCCTTTACCTTGAGTTGTTACTGTTGTACCAAATTTTTCTATGTGACTTGTCGTTGTTGTTCTGTTTTTGTTCTTTATCTCAATTGTTGTTGTGTTGCCCATGCCTTCTGTTTGTTTAACTTGCAAATATCATGTTTCCCTTTTTGTTGTTATATCTACATCCATGTCGTTCCTCATTTGTTGCACTTTTGTATAAGCTTTCTATCATATTAGTTATCCATACCTTCTAGGTGTTAGCTCATAAAGATCATGATTTCCCTCTTGTTTGTTATATCTACACCTAGGTCATCTACCATGCTAGTTAGTAAAATTTATATTCTTGTTTCCTAATTGATGTCATTATTTCTATGCCTCCTCCCTAGTCTGCTACCGTTGACTATATGTATTGCCTTGTTTGTTATTGTTACCTGTGTATTTTTCACTTGGTGATGAAGAGCGTAAAACACGAAGGGTGGTACCGTACCATTGTATATACATTATCATGTGAAAAAGAGTGTAAACCACAAAGGGTGATGCCATGCCATTTTATTTACGTTATCATGTGAGGGTGAAAGTAAATACACGAAGGGTGATGCCGTGTCGTTTCATTCATATTATCGTGTTCTCATTTACATTAACATGTGAGGATGAGTGTAAAAGTAAGAAGGGTGATGCCGTATCATTTTATTTATATTATCATAGGTTCATGGCACGGAGAGTGTTTCCGTGCAGGCGAGGACGGGGGGCATGCATTATGTTATGATATCTTTTCATAGTGTATACGTTTATTCCTTTACCTTGAGTTGTTACTGTTGTACCTATGTTTTCTATGTGACTTGTCGTTGTTGTTCTATTTTTGTTCTCTATCTCAATTGTTATTGTGTTGCCCGTGCCTTCTGTTTGTTTAACTTGCAAATATCATGTTTTCCTTTTTGTTGTTATATCTACATCCATGCCGTTCCTCATTTGTTGCACTTTTGTATAAGTTTTCTATCATGTTAGTTATTCATGCCTTCTAGGTGTTAGCTCATAAAGATCATGCTTTCCCTCTTGTTTGGTATATCTACACCTAGGCCATCTACCATGCTAGTTAGTAAAATTTATATTCTTGTTTCCTAATTGATGTTATTATTTCTATACCTCCTACCTAGTCTGCTACCGTTGACCATATGTATTGCCTTGTTCGTTATTGTTACCTGTATATTTTTTACTTTGTGATTATTGTTATTGGCATTTCTTTCACCCGGTTGGTACTGTTATACGTATATTTGGTAAGGATGAGATAAATGTACGTAGGGTGTTGCCGTGCCATTGATTTGATATCTTGAGTACATTTCTCATACTATGAAAGTTATGGAGTTATATCGTGGTTTATTGGTTATCGCTCTAAGGAAAGGAATGGTCGTGATATTGGGAAATGCTAAACTATGATCTCTTCTAGTACTCATTTATTGCTTCGCATATTCGTTTCGTGTACTCTTTTCTGTTATATTGTATTATCGTTCTATTGCTAGTTTACTGTACAGGTTATATCAATAAGTATCTTTTAACTAAAAAGCCTCGTCACTACTTCACCGAGATTAGTCAAGATACTTACTGAGTACATGGGGTCGGTTGTACGCATACTGCACTTCTGTACCTTGTATGCAAATTTTTGGAGCGGGGCTGCAGGGGATGACGGGGCTGACTATGAAGATGTTCGTGCCTTATGGATGTGGCTACCACTTGTCCCTGGGTAGTTCTAGAATTGAATTCTGTTTATGTACATTTCAAACAGAAGTTGTATTTATTTCACATCCGTTTTTGCAATAATTCAGTCTTAGTAGCTCATGTCTTATACTACCAGTCCTTGGGTTATTTGTTGGAATACAGATATATCAATTGTTGATCACATTTATTTTATTAGAATTGTGTTAACTGTTAATTGACTGACCTAACGGGTCGAGTTAGGTGCCATCACGACTTATGAATTTTGGGTCGTGACATCTATATTAATTGGACAATATCTTTTGTTTTTTCATCTCAATTGATATACATTAATATCAATCACACATACTTATAATACCTTTTTTGGGTAAGCAACTACTAGCAGATGTAACGGTACCTAGATATTGTGTCTAAAAAGATGAATAGATAAGAGTAAGACTACTAGCTAATTGCTCGTTAATTTCTTTCTTGACTCTAAGACATATCAAAGTGTCAGCAGCACACAAATAGCTCGTGCGGTGCCTGCAGTCCCACCTGACTACAAGACAACCTTCTCTTATTTCTGGTTTCTTGACATGACCCTGTGTCTATGTTGAAGCTTGCCTCGGAGGCTTAGTTTCTCCTATTCCGCCCTTTTGATGCCAAGGTTTTAGCCTTGTCTTGCTGACATATTCTAGGGACATATTTCATAAGCTGTGTCGTGACCCTGCGCACAACGGGGGTTGGCTACGGACATGAACGTCCCTTGCTTAGCACTGAGCATTTCTCCCGCGCGTACAATCCAATCCTCTAGCTTGACATAAGTCGGCAAAAACAACCATAAAAGGGAAGGAAAAAAACAGAAAGAACTCCAAGTTAAATATATTTCGGATGTAAGAATGATAGGTGAAAATCATAATCTCTCCAACGTTTTGTTAAAAAATCAAACTCTTCTTCTAACCTCAGACAATAACCATTCTTCTTCTCCTATCTCAAGATTAGGCTTCTTGATTATAATTAACAGGTGGTTATTATATAAAAAATATCTATTATACCAAGGTCATTTTATTTTTGTCAACCTCCTCATCTTATAAAATCTTTTGTATTATGACATATTTTATCTTTTAAAAAAATATATTAACTTAGATTTATATTCTTTCTTCTCACCGTTCCCTTTTTCACTTTTTATTATTATTATGAGTCTTTTACCTAATAATCTGGTGCACTCTTAATTGTGAATGAATTTTAGACACAATTAATAACAATATAGAGTTACGTAATAATCTGATGCACTCTATATTGTTCTTAATTGTGTCTACAATTCATTAACAAAATAAGTTATGAAAGTCTTTTCTCCCTTTTAATGAAGAATATTTATTATATTTAAGGTAATCAACAAAAAACAATGACCCAGTAAAATCCCACAAGTGGGAGTCTGGGGAGGGTAGTGTGTACGCAGACCTTACCCCTACCCCGAAGGAGAAGAGCGGCTATTTTCGAAAGACCCTCGGCTCAAGAAGACGAAAAATACGAGAAGAGAAGGGAGGGGATAATATATTAATACCATCAAATAGAAACCAAAGAAATAATATTAGCATCACAAGGACTAGAAAATAGTTGAAATGCAATAACAAAACCAGAAAATAAGTCCGATGCTATGAAAACGTAAGGATAGGGAGAACACAACATAAACCCCTAGCAGTCTAAGACCACCCTTATCGAACTAGCCTCACCCCTGGACTCAACTACATCCTAACCTACAACTCTAATGCTCGACCTCCACACCTTCCTATCAAGGGCCATGTCCTCGAAAATCTGCAGCAACGCCATGTCCTGTCTAATCACCTCTCCCCAATACTTCGTAGGCCGCCCTCTACCTCTTCTCGTCCCCTCCAGGGCCAAACTCCCGCACCTCCTCACCGGAGCATCAGGGCTCCTCTTCCGCACATGCCCGAGCCATCTGAGCCTCGCTTCTTGCATCTTGTCATCCATAGGAGCCACGCCCACCTTCTACCGAATAACTTCATTCCTAATCTTATCCATCCTAGTATACCCGCACATCCACCTCAATATTCCCATCTCTGCCACTTTCATTTTCTGGATATGAGAGTTCTTAACCGGCCAACACTCTGCCCCATACAACATGGCCTGTCTTACCACAGCTCTATAGAACTTACCTTTGATTAACGGTGGCACTTTCTTGTCACACAGGACTCCTGATGCTAACCTCTATTTTATCCACCCCACCCCTATATGGTGTGTGACGTCCTCATCAATCTCTCTCCCCCCCCCCCCAGG